AGGAGGAGCACACAGATCCCAGAGCTGCATGTAAGTGCGATAGATATAGGTGCGACCGACCACTTCCTCATATGGGCAAACATCGACCGATCTAGAAAGATCAAGAGTAAGAAACAGAGGAAAGTGCTCCGGTGGAAAGTAGAGCGTTTGGGAGACGAGGGGACACGGGATGAATTCCAGAAGGGACTGGCTGGTAGTGTAGAACCCTTCTGGAAACTGCTTAAGAGCGTTGAAGACGGACAGGTAGACGTACAAGCAGCAGGGGACAGGGTGATTGAAGGGTTGGAGTCCATAGTGAACACAAGGGCAGAGAGAGTAGTGGGAAAGAAGGTAGTTCAATGTGGGGTATCGGTTAAGTGGTGGGATGACGAGCTGAAAGAAGAAATAGGGGAACGTAGAGAAGTCTTCAAGCAGTACCTGAGTGAGGCGTCTGAGGAGAGTTGGGAAAAGTACAGGGCCAAGAGAAAACAGGTGAAGGGACTAGTGAGAAAGAAGAAAAAGTGTATTTGGGACGAAGTAGTGCAGAAGGCCAACGGAGGCCTGGAGGGAAACGTCAAGCAGATGTGGGAAGGGATTAGTGGAATGGTAAAAAAGACCGCGCAAGGGGGGGATACAGGGGTCGCAACTTTGCGAGGTGTGAACGGTGGATTAGTCAGCAGTGGGAAGGGAAAAAGGGAAGTTCTAGCAGGACACTACAAGAGACTTGGAGTGCCCTCGGAGAATGAAGCTTTTGACCAAGTGTTTAAGAAGGAGGTGGACGCATGGGCCCAAAAAGAAGAAGAGACATCGAAGGCAGACGTTGGGAACGTTGAACTAGACAAGGAGTTCACTGAAGACGAGGTTGAGGCGTGTGTGAACAAGCTGAAATGCCACAAAGCAGCAAGAGCGGATGGGACAGTCAACGAGTTCATGAAGTTTGGGAGGAAGAGGATGACTCAGCTGATGGTACTGCTGTACAACTAAGTGTGGGAAAACGAGTATCCGCCAAGTAGATGGAGGGAAGGAGTGGTTGTGAACTTGTTCAAGAAAGGAGACAAGACTGACCCAGGAAACTACAGGGGGAT